TATTAAATAAATTATAATTAAATAAGTACTTATAAAAAAAACAAAGTAATCTGACATTCTTTTGATACACAATATGAAAAACTTTTGGTGGATGCGATGGACATATGTATTTCTTCATTTAATTCAATAAATTAATTTTTTTTAATTAGTAGAAATAAAACATGAATGACCTCCCTTCTGAAGTGACAGTTTTTGATATTACCATGATAGTAAGCATATTCAAATTGAAAATTTTTCGTAATTTTGTTGCCATATTTAAATGAGAAATTGTTTTAACAAACATGTGTCTTACTGTATGGCTTTCTTTATACATATAATCACTATTTTTTTAATTTTAAATTTAAGATGTGGAAAAGTTTTGCACTGTATTTTATTGCAGCAGTATATAACTAGGTAATATACACATTTACACAAACTTTAAACATAATTTTGAGCACCCAGTACACGTGTACATATGTATAAATAGGTACAGTTCCACTATAACATTTACGCACCAAAAAATTTCCAAAATTCTCCATGGCGCATCCTGAACAAACATGCATTTATGGTCTATGAATGCTAATACTGAAGCTATTTAATAAAACACATCTGTTCAGTTACAGACGATAGTATCCTTATAGATCCCGGAAAACGAGAATCAAGAGGATCAATCGACGGTAAGAAAAATTAAATAAAAGAGCTACACGTAATCGGATAATAATATTTTATATAGATTAGAAATAATTTCCAAGTTGATGATCCAGGCAAAATTTCTTTCAGCTGTTGAGAGTTTCAAAACTAATTTTTACATGATAAATTACCGTTAATGGATCTCTAATAAATGACCAACTTTTAATCAAATCGGGGAAAGTTTTTTCATTTGAGGGAAAGCACTTTTACAATGGAAATTACTTTACCTACACATAAATGTTTTCGTACTTATTTGAGCTATAATCTTCGTTTCTCTTCTCCTCATATTAATCAACAGAGCTATTCAAGCAATTTAAGGGTGTAAAATGTTTTATTTAATATATAAAGTTGAGTGAATATCAACGGATTTTTCATTATATTTGACCTTCTATAATACATCTTGAATTGCTTGAATAGTCTTATAATCTAAGTTATTTATAAAAGATATGTTACTGGGACAACGTTTTGTAGTTGCGTTCCTGAAAACGTGTTTAATTCCAGGGGTAGATCTTGGTCGAGTGGCTACTCCAACTGCTACTGAACGAATGTTACCGTGGAAACGTAACGATGAAAACGAATTTTCTGCTCCAGTACAGCAGTCCGAATTTCCCGCTTGGGCCTCAAACAAAGAATATTTGGCCTACAATTCGCCCTCTGCCACGTTCTTGGGTACGATCGCTATTTTAATTCCATTACGCGTCAAAACTGATGCACCATTGGAAAAGTGACATAACTTCAAAGTTGATTTTATCGCAAACCACTAAACCGATTTTTAAGATCTCTCTTTTAAATGTGGCCTATGTCTCTTATGCCTTCTTTAATTTCAATTTTGGACATATACAGAATGTACAAATGATAATAAAAACTTTTTCCACTTGAAATTTACAACATTCTGTGGAGCGTTACGGTTAAAACAGATGGAATAGTCCTATATTTTCTAAGCATTTTTACGGAGGAAATTCTTTTGTTAAAATTATGCATTTTATACCTATGATGTATAAGTCAAACCCATACTTGACTGATTTTGTTAAATTTATCCCACTGATAACTAATTTTGTCTTCAATTCCAGGAGGAATTGAAAATCCTCGTTCTTCTGTAATAGGATTATTTAGAAAGGACAGTACCAATTCAGGACAAGCAAGTAGTCCTGAAGTGTCTCCCCAGAAGGAACGTCGACGATCCTCAGGAGCGAATGCGGTTCTACTTATCGAAGAAAACGAATTGCCTGTTGATCCCCTGGGAGCCATCGTAAGGCCAAGGACGTCGCAAGGCTCTCACACACCTACGCAAAAGAAGCCAGTTCGAAGGGGTTCTATGCTGGAACTAACGGGGTCTGTCAATAGTGATAATTGTAACGATCACCATGTAAGAAGTTTTGGTTTTTTCTTTTTTTGGTTGCAGGTATTACTATTAACGATTCAGTTTTAATCATTTGTTGTACGAATCTCTTAACTGACATGCATGAAACAGTCATTAACATTATTTTTCTTACTTATCTACTTCTCACATACGCATTAGTAAAAAATATGCAAAATGGGCTGAAGAATTATTGAGCGAAAGCCAATTGGGGTTTGGAAGAAATAATAAAGCGCGTGAAGCTATTTTAGCTTTACAGGTAATAATACAGCAAGTGCTAACTAATTTAACTGCAAAAATAATAATTGTTACAATTAGATAAAATTAAAAAATTAAATATGCAAGTACCTATACATTAAAATTCACCGGAATTACACAGGCCTTGGTTACAGCTAACAATATTTTTCGTTGTAACATTATTACTTCAATTTATAGTAGCCTTATTAGGAAATTAATATTTAAAAGTGGAACTATTTACTTACGTGTAATTAGAAATTTATTTCCCGTTTTAATTCGTGGTGTGGAAATAACGAAAAGGTGAAATGCTCTGTACGGCAAAATATAGAGAGAAACAGTTTAAAACGCAATAGTTATTATACCTATTAGTGTAATAAAACAATAAATCGCTTTAGTGTTTTTAAATGTTCATAGCATAATAATTACGTTTGTTACGTATTTTTCTACCGGCACAAGGCTACTAAAGCTGGTAAAGCAGTGGTTACATTTATCTGCTCTTTGTGCTATTTCGGCTACAACACGTATTATAAAGGACACGGTAGGCTTCTTGTATGGCTTTCGTGGAAATTTTAGGGAAGCAGGAACTTCCATACTTTATAAACTATTTTTTCATTTGCTGTGGTGCCTGACGTTGTTTCTTTTTAATGAAATGGTCTTCAACCTTGTCGCTTATGCGCAATTTCATAAAAGCAGCAACGAAAACTCGGAAAAGATGGTGCAATACCCCACGTCACTGCGGCAATACAATTTTTTTATCAAGGACATACTCTCACCACCGATAACTACCATAATTAATGAGATCATTTTTTTGTATGTTTTTACAAAAAAAGAGAAACTGTTGACGCCAATTAAAAACGAAACGAAGAGTGGTGTTAAATATTTAATATAATAAATTAGTTATAACACTGTGACTACAAAATGACAAAAACACTTCGTGTTACAAATTGTTTTTTATTATTACCTTATTGCCTTATGATCAACATTTTTATCTCAGTGGTAGAAAGTTAATAAAGATAGGCTTATGACATGAATGAATAATTGAGCCCACTGGATGCATAATGGTGTACCTATAATATCATCTTGTTTTCGAATTTATGAGCATTGTTTTTATTTTTAACAAATCCATTCTATATGTAATTATACATTATGTTAAAGCTTTTTAGCAACAAATATGCAGGTAATTTATGTACTTTTAAAAGTTACTTCGACAAACATATCTGCAGTTAATTAGCATATATGTCATTATTGTATTATTTTGCTTCTTTCACTATATAAAAGGCCTCAAACGTCCGGACAGAAAATTGACTACATTTCAGGCAAAATTGCAAGAAATTAATTTTTAATGCCACTTGTTTCAAAGAAGAATTCCTTTCTCTACAAAATGACATCACACAAGAAGTAATAAAGCCCAAATGTCAATACTCCAAAGTTCGCTTGAAAATACTAAATGACTAAAGAATTTTTTGACGTGACAACGTCTTATAATTCGATGGAGCCGGCTGCAGGCACGAAAAAACATGACTCATGCTGCGTTACCTCGCTCTGAGGCGTTCCATTTAAGGCTTGAAGTGCAAGCGAGAGCGCGGAACGAGCGACAAAGAGGCACAATCNCAGCTTCAGCAATATGTTTACTGATCCACGAAAATAATTTTTAAACTTACTGTCAGGAATTTTATAATAGAATTAGCAAGCAAGGTCTTATAACTAATAAAACTGTTACCTATTCTTGTAAATTTAATACTTACCTGAAATAATTAGAGATGCGCAAAATGGTTTTTCAAAAGTATTTTATTTAATAGATATCCCTTCTGTACTTTAAATGCCGAATGCAAAATACCTATTTAATTTTGTAAAGAATAATATCAAAAATCAAAAAAATAAATCGTTTTTTTATATTTTTCGACGTATTAAGCTATGTACTTGAGCACCCTTAATCCTTTTTCTACTTATGTGCCTCAAACAAACAAATCTAAAACAAAATCACAAAAATACTTCTTATGTTGCTTCTTTTAAAAGTGCATTTATTCCGTTTTGCTGTTTTTGTAAAATTTTCCAGCGTTAATATCTTGCTCTAACATCCTTTAAAATAACAGCAGGATTCTAAGTCGGGAGGCGATCCCGGAAGAAGTCCTCAGTAACCGTTGGAGACGCTCCTCGTGTTTACCTACACGCACCACACGAACCCCTCGAACAAGCGAACGTCACAACAGTATTTCCAGTACGGCCCTGCTTTCGTCCCCTTCTCCAACGCCTACTGACGAAAGTTCTGTTGATGAGGATGACGATGATGATCTTGACGACTTGGATTTGATGAAAGCTGGATTCTAGCAAAGGTTTTAACATTCACGTGTGATATTTAAGAGTTAGCCGATTCCTAAGTATTAAGTTAGGCGATTTTAACCGACTTCAAGAAAAACTCAATAGTTTTGCGTATGATGTAGGCCTTTTTAGACGATTGTGACCCGATTTTAATTATTCTTTTTTTATCGGATATGCCGTAGATCAAGAGTGGTCCCATTTAAATTAAGGAATGATTACCCGTTTTCAACTTTTGACGTGACAACGTCTTATAATTCGATGGAGACGGCTGCACGCACGAAAAAACATGACTCATGCGGCGTTACCTCGCTCTGAGGCGTTCCATTTAAGGCTTGAAGTGCAAGCGAGAGCGCGGAACGAGCGACAAAGAGGCACAATCGGCCTCCGCGTTCGGCAGCGTTCGACATCTGTCTCTCTCCTACTTGAGTGAGCGATGCGTCCGCGTGGACAGCTGCTATACAATAATACATTTCCATTTACCTCCTTCTCTATATCCATACAAAATATCTATCAAACAAATAAAATTAAAATTTTCTTTTGAAAAATGAAACCATTCCATCAGTATTTTCTTATGATGTTGTCACGTTCAATTATCGTCAGTATACCGACTTTACAGATAACCGATTTTTTAGTTTAAGTTTCAATATACAGGCCAAGTACTGAAGCGATTTTTTGTACGTTATATTTATTATTCATTTGATGGCTTATTTATCCTTGCAGCCACAAAAATTACTTGTAAATAATTTTATATCGTCGTCCTCATTAAACTAATAATATTACGTTGTGAGTAACAACAATTTTTATAAATACTATATAGTGCATCTAATAGGTACGTGAAGGAAACTGGATATAAAAGAGTCCTGCCAAACCCTTGTCCATTCTAACTAACGAAACGTATTTTTAGATTATTCTACTTTTCCTTTCCAGAATACAAATAACTACTTGCATTAATAACAATGAAAAACTAGAAACAAGTACAAAGTTCCAAAACTAAGAAATATACACAAGGTTTTCATAATTGCGTTTTTATTTACAAACATTTTGTGTATTAGTGTGGTATATCAACATGCAGTACAAAGCATGGTAATACTATAAAAACGCAGTAATGAAAATAGTGCAAGTATACAGCGTAAAAATGAAGCAATTTCAAAAACCGTTACCCATTGAAAATAATTTATTCAACTACGCGGATCGCAGACGTTTTCCCGTGCATTACGTTCAATTGTGCAGAAAAAAGGAACTGTAACTTGTAATATTATTTGTAATAACTAGTTTGTAGACGCGGAAGGACAAACTTGCTCTTTATTATAAACCCTACATAAGTAGGTACAATTTCTTGCTACCAACAATGAATTAAAATGATGCAATAGAGCATATTGAGCGGCTCTAGTTTTTGCAAAGTTGACTGTGCCTTTTTTTTAGTAGCAAAACGCGACACGTTTGCAATAATGAAAAATATTAATCACAACTATGAAGTATCGCTTCCGATACATAACGGGCTTTTGATTGGTTATTAGTTAATTTTATAAATGAACAAAGGAAATTAATGTTTTGTCTTTTTTAACTGATTGAATCTTTCAGGAATCATACCGACAGTTTTGGATAATATTATAAAAGAATTTTTGTAAGCAATTGAACTATTTTATCCAATTTGGCTTAGATTCGCTTAGAACGCATTTAACAGTGGGTGGAATTATTAATATTATCATTTACGTACATTAAAAAGAAAGAACTACTGCATCTCGGTTTTGAGTTGTGTGGTTCTTTTTTAATTATACAGAAACAGTAAATTGAGTTTAATCGAATTTTTTCCAATTTGGTGGGTGTGTGGTTTAGGGGATAGACCATCGTCCCCAAACACCTATTAAAATAAGTAACAATGTTCTTGAATGCTTCTAAAGTTATCCTCGACTAGAATGTTCTCGATTGTCCTCAAGTAGAATGTTCTAGAGTGAACCGGAAGAATCGAGAACTTTCTGGATGGTTCAAGAACTATTACGTACGATTGGATGAGAGTTTTAGAGTAAATTAAACTTGAAAAATCGGGAAATATTCAAGGACCGTTATATTTGAGTGATGAACCTGAGTTCTAACACTGAATTAGGACATTTTCATGTGTTTCGACCAAAACATCTTAAAAAATGTTTGAAATCTCCTATGATTTTCGAGATTTCACGTCTGGTATAGTTTTGCGAATTGGCCACAAAGCACCCGCTTAGATTAAGTGAGAATGTTAGCTAGTTAGAAACAAAAGCAAAGCAGTGGCTTAAACTCAGCGCATCATTTCTGATAACGTTCAAAAACGGTTAATTAATATATCAAATTAAGAACTACGTGAGCAACCGACAGTTTGTTTCTAAAATATAACTTACGTTCAAATAGAACTAGGATTATTGCTACTATAATTAAATATTAATGAAATATTAATTTATGATTATTACATGGATTAAGCGCCTACATAGAACTTTATAGCAGGATTTTTAAAAACGACCGTTATTTAGAAATACGTGTCGAGATAGTTAAAGTTGATATCTTTTCTTCAAACAGTGAAGTATGGTTTTATCCGGCTTACTACCGTTATTCAAATTTACATAGCACTCTAAGTGAATATTCTTTGTTTTCTTGCTCATTTCGCTTCATATTTTTGTCCAACAATACAAACATTTTGCAGTTATTTTACACCACATTTATACACAATATAACCATTTATTTATTTGCTGAAGGCAGCTTCAGCAATATGTTTACTGATCCACGAAAATAATTTTTAAACTTACTGTCAGGAATTTTATAATAGAATTAGCAAGCAAGGTCTTATAACTAATAAAACTGTTACCTATTCTTGTAAATTTAATACTTACCTGAAATAATTAGAGATGCGCAAAATGGTTTTTCAAAAGTATTTTATTTAATAGATATCCCTTCTGTACTTTAAATGCCGAATGCAAAATACCTATTTAATTTTCTACATTTACTTAAGTACAAAATATTTTTTAACAAAACTTTACAGGCATAGTATGATTCATATTTTTCTGTTTGAAGTGATTGAGATATAGTTTTTCTATCTTTATGTTATAGTTTCTTCAGTTGAGCAACAAATAATTCTATTATATGCTTCCTTATTTGCCATTTTCACCCGTTTTAATTGGAAAAAAGTCACTGATGCCAAAATAGTTTGTTTAGCGTGAAAGAACAGAGCCAAAACAGGGTTGCAAATAATTTTATTGATGTAAAATCAACATCAATCATTTTATATCAAAATATTTACAACCCCATTTTGTTTCTGATCTTTTACACATTGTAATAAAAGAAAGAAATGGAATCCATAGGTTCTTTAGCTTTGAGTTCATCCAATAAGTGAAGTTTTTCGAATCGTTTTCTAAGCATTTTGGATTATATGCATTTATTAGCACATCACAATATCTCGTAGTTTTCAGTTTTACACAGCAACTTTCATTCATCATTTTATATAATGTTTGATCGGTGATACTAGCAAAAAAGTATTTCGCATTTTACAAATAGAAAATTCATTTGGAAAAGTGTTTTAAATAAAATAAAAAAAATGTTTTTCTCAAAAAAGTATTTAAATGCAAGATAGAAATAGCTATTTTTTATTTTGAATTTGCATTTTAAATGCAAGTATTTCAAATAAATCACATCCCTGGAAATAATATCGGTAAAATGTTCCATTAGAGTCTTTTAATACACACGTATACAAATTTCGTAGGCGAAAATTCGGATCTTGGCCTCATATGTATTCCTAAAAGGCCTTTTTCTATCTAGTTACCTTTACGTAATTCGTCGAAAGGCTTGACCTTATGATCAGAGGTGTAATAATTGTTTGGTTGCCATTAAGCATGTTATAAATATTTCTGGGCTGGGTTACAAATCGTAGCCAACATGTGAATTACTTATCTCCATATGATACCTACATGAAGCGCGTACAGAGAGCTTTTCTTCAATTAATTGATAGGTACATTTAATTCTAATAATCTAATAAACTAACGTAATACTAAAACTAGTCAATATACATGTTGTACATTTACTAAATATTGCTGGAGATAGTCTTATTATTACACTAGTAAATAGAAAACAAACAGAAACCTACATGCAGAGAAATAATATACGCCTTTTGTATATAAACTGCAAAAGTTACAATTTTTATATAAATCTAACTGTTCTGCTAATTACAGCATTTGCGAATTTTATTTTACTTTTAAATTACGTGTACTATGTTCCCATTTCGTTGATGGTGACGTCCTACCTATGTAAGTCATATTAATCGTAATTCATTAACGGGGTGGTCAATAAAAACTGATCTTTTGTACTGAAATATTTTCAAAGGGCGTCAATTTAATCGACATTTAAAATATTTAACAAGTTTTATAATAAATGAGTATTTCATTTAAGTACCTGATAGTCGATTTACTATTAATTAATAATTAAGACCCTATTATTGTAACAAGCTTAATTTTTAGAATAAGCGTACCTATTTTTAGTACAGTCAAGTCACTTTAGGAAGGCCAAGTCCGCAATAAATTTTTTAGATCCAAACAAGACTACTTTACCCTTTTGTTTCACAAATTTCGAATACAGAATGTTTCTAATCTAATAGAATTATCAGAACATGCTAATGAAAGACAAAAAGTAATCGTGTAGATCATATTTGATGATAAGATATAAGTATATCTGTCCAATACTTTACTGTCAACTTCGCCTTCTGAAACTGACCCGACCATAGCTTGACTAACGTGAGTGATTTTATTATAATATACAGTGTGTTACGCTCTTAGGCATTTAAACCAGAAATGCACAGATACTAAATCCAACTATGCATTAGATTAATAAGAAAGGAAAAACAAAAGAAAATCTTTTTAACGTGCCTACATATCGATGCTATGAAGTTTATAGAGTATCGTAATTTTATGGCGTAACATAAGCTGTTTAATAACTTATTACGTCTGTAGCGGCTTATTAATAATAATCGTATTGAAATCATTTTCCTAATCACCCTGTACATATTGCATCGATCTTCCGACATTATCCTGACAAACATATTTTTGCAGCCTGACAATACATTTGTACGTATTTCTGTGATTGAACACTTATTTCATCTTTGAGTCACTCAATAATCTGTTGTTATGGTTACAGTGTATTAAATAAAATTATTGGTTGAACTTTTCACTTGTTTCAATTGTTTTCCTAATCGTACATCATGAAACTTTATAAACTCATTATCAGAAAAGGTTATAAAGTGTCTTTTATCCAGAAATAAAATATTGTTCCCGAGGGATCGAAAAATTACTTTGATGTGGTCGTCGATGATTTTTGACACATATTTAGAACACCAATGAGAGGGAAGCCGCGGGTAAAACCTAGTATACTGTAACAGATATTGTTTAAGTATATTTAATAAGAAAAGCGAAGTGTTTAAGAAAGAAAAGTAAATAAAAAGTACGTTCAATTATTTGTTTTCTGAAGAAAGCGGTTCTTTTGAAATGATTTCCAACAGATCGCAATGATAAAGGACGCATTTCATTTGAAGTTTTAAGGAAATCTTATCATTTTTAAAGATATTAAAATTACCACTTAAAAACCATGACCTTACAAATACTGATTAGTAAATAACAATTTGAAACGTCTACTTTAGAATTTCAGAATAATAAAAATATTTACCTAACTGAAATTATTTTAAACGACCACAGTGTATAGAAATGATGGTATATCTACGATGCTGTTCGATAGTCACAAACATTTAAGGTTGCTCGTACTGTACAACAAAATTTCTATAATCCTACGATTTTTGAAGCTTGGATTTTTATTTTTTTTTTTAAGAAAGAACTAAACAAAAGTACATTGAGTAACGATTATAAGTTTGGAATGTAATGAATTATTCAACAATGAATTTAAGAGGGCGTCAAATTCATATATTTTTTTATGGTTTGATCAGTTAAATGAATTCCTGGGTAATTGTTTTATACCTATCTAATATACCTGCCCGCTTAATACCTACCTGCATAATAATCCATAATTTTATACTTTTTGACGTGACAACGTCTTATAATTCGATGGAGACGGCTGCAGGCACGAAAAAACATGACTCCTGCGGCGTTATCTCGCTCTGAGGCGTTCCATTTAAGGCTTGAAGTGCAAGCAAGAGCGCGGAACGAGCGACAAAGAGGCACAATCGGCCTCCGCGTTCGGCAGCGTTCGACATCTGTCTCGCTCCTACTTGAGTGAGCGATGCGTCCGCGTGGACAGCTGCTATACAATAATACATTTCCATTTACCTCCTTCTCTATATCCATACAAAATATCTATCAAACAAATAAAATTAAAATTTTCTTTTGAAAAATGAAATCATTCTATCAGTATTTTCTTATGACGTTGTCACGTTCAGCTGTCGTCAGTAAACCGACTTTACAGACAACCGATTTTTTTTGTATAATTTAAATACTATCCACATTTTTAACTATTGCCAATCGCCTGTATATATATAAGTATGAATATATTTTACATATAACATATTTGAAACTTTCACTGCCTGTTTAACCAAAAGCATAAAGTAAACGACTAATTAATGCTTAAAAAAGATGATGTTAAATCGTTAAATAATCTCTTCACACTTATTATGTAAACTATTCTTTAAGGTGTGTTCGTGATCTACAAATATACACAGGTAGGTATGATCTTCTATTTTATTTATGTTTATGAAAAGCATTTGTTTATAAAATTGTTGTTTATACCAATAAAAAGAAAAAGAATACGAAAAGAAGCAAGATGGGTCGTTATAATGTCCCATGTTTTGAAATTGTTGGCATAACAGATATCAAAAACTTTTATTTTATTTCATACCCAGATGATCCAACGCTTAAAATTTCAGAACATTTGACAAGTGAAGGCTAAATTTCCTTATATATTACGTGTACAACAGCATAAATTTAAATTTTAAAAACGTTACGTCACAAATATTTATTTTTATATTCAATTACTAATGTATTAGCAAATGCAAAAGCCGTTATTTCTATTGTTGTTTGATAGCTTAATTTACATTTATCCTTAGATTGTGGTTAAAGTCAAAATTGAAATATTCACCTTAATCTTTGAAATCATAGTTTACAATTACGTAAAATTATATATCCGGTTATTAATTGGTCAATAATTTGCGTTAGCGGATAGTAATTTGTAATTAGTACCTTTATTATTGCTAAAAGTACGTTCAAATAAACATTGAACAGTAATGATGAAAATTTTTCATGATTATCAGACAATTTACACCATTTTTACAAAAAAAAAACAAAAATAACAACGACCCACAGGTACTTCCCCTAACTCTGATAAGAAGCAGGAATTTTGAACTGTTTAAAAAAGATCTAGTGTATGAAGTTATTTACCAACCAATTTGCTAGAAAAATATTAACCAATTTTTAAGTGTTTTGCTTGTTACTCTAATTAAAGATATCTTAATGAATAATTAGCATTCCTGATAAGTAGAAATGTATATGCATTATACATTCATTAATTAGTAAAGTTTGTAGACAATACTTTGATTTCTTTAAAGCATTTCTTTAAAGATTTCTTGAAAGCATTCAACATTAAAAATACTTTCTAGTGACATTGTCGGTTTCGCTTGGTTGTACCAAGGGCTAGGTCAGTTATCAGCGTTGGTAGTCCAAGAGAGATGAAACCTTGAACGCTACCATTGCGAGACCGAGTAACCAACGATGTGAAGTTATATAAACAACGGAATTCAGCTGTTCCGACAGTTCACGATCGGCGTATCAGCGTGCATATTCGGTGTGTGTTCGTATGCTTCGGTAACGTGGCTATTCAAAATAAGAACATAAACATTTTTTTGATTAAAAATGATTGAAAATTGTGGTGTAGTTTTGCAAGCATTTTTAGGTACACTTTTTACATGGGGCCTTACTGCTACAGGTGCCTCAGTTGTCGTATTTATTCGAGGATCACAGGTTAGTTCACATTTATAACCTCTAAATTTCCATAAATAACAATACAATATTTTATTTCAGAGAAAATTACTTGACGCCAGTTTAGGATTTGCTGCTGGTGTTATGGTAGCAGCTTCTTTCTGGTCTTTATTATCTCCTGCAATTGAAATGGCTGAGGAGTCAAAATTGTATGGTGAAAATGGGCAATTTGCTTTCATACCTGTTGGAATAGGTTTTCTACTTGGTGCTCTTTTTGTATATGGAGCTGATGTTTTCATTACAGCCATTGGAATAACTTCACCTAGCACAATGTTAGGTATGTCGCATTTCTTATTGTTTTTTTTTAATTATGTACTAACAATTAACCAACAGTAAGTTATTTACAAGCTCTAGTTACAATTATTTGCCAAATATTTTCTTAAGAGGTTTATATATTGCATGATAAAGACAATGCAATGTTTCCAATTTGATGGTGATGTTTAGTACTGAAATAGTCATTTAACCATTTTTTATTTAATATGCACAGACGTTTCCAAATCTGTGGTATTAAATGAAAACTTAATTTTAAACAAATTAGGGGCATTAATTTTTTGTGAATAGCTTACAATATGTAGCTTTGTACTTATTGGGGTTGGTGGAAACGTGCGGATATGGTAATGAGGGATGTGCTAAATGCTGAGCGCAGCACGTCGTAAGAATTTGTTATAAATCGTCCAGAATTCGTAATTTGTTTATATGTAAAAATAATCTTGCCACTAACATCTCGTGAACCGGAAGCTTATAGTGCAGGGCGTCCCAGTTTGTCGTGTCGTTGAGTTTTTGTCTAATTTTTTGTCTATCTCTAAAAATTAAATCCTTTATGATACTTACATTCAAAATTATTTGAGTAATTAACATAAACAATCGCGATTAGTATTGTGTTGATACAAATAAACAAATTTGCTACTACCTACTTTACAATTAGTACAATAATCTCTGTCAAAAAGTTAATATGCTTAATTAATGGGTTTAAAGTCCACAATAGTAGATATTAGCTGAAAGACATTTTAAAAAGACTAATGTAGGCATTTCTAATCATTTTTTAACACATTTACAAATGTCACTTACGTCTTATCGCCAACATGTCTAACGACGAATTAGGTATTTAAAAAAATGTTTCTACGTATTATAATCTATTCTATTTTTTGTTCTGTTGTAAAATTTTCATTCAAGTAACTCAATTTTAGTTTCAATGGAAACCTTTTTTGAAATTTGGTTTTCATGTTTTATATTATTTTTAACAATTTTTTTATCAATTCGTTCGTTATAAGGGTAAAAGAATATGTATGTAATAATAATTTTTTTAGCCGAATATGTTTACTTGTATCAAATAAAAGATCATTGAACTTAACGTTGTTGTTAAATAACAATAACAAAAATAACGGCGCCTTCAATGATGTTGATTTATTTATAATTAGCTGATCATCTTTGATTGTTTTCGGCCGACTGAAAGATAATTACACGCTCTTTAAGTGCATTTTACATTACGTATTTTGATAAGATATGCATTGCATTTTCATTCCCTTTTAGGCGGTTTCGTTTTTTATTTTACGTAAAAATCACCTTGTTTTGTTCTATTTGAAGTCAAATGGGGCATTTTCATATTTTACAATTAATTAAATGTTCGTATGAATCATTATCATGCTTGCCTAATAATAGTAGAGAATAGTAAGAGCAATGCTAAACGGAATTGATTTTGAAAAGGCCTTGTAATGTTTACAATCTTCGTTAAATATTTATCTATTTTATAAAGTCGGTGTAAAAACTTATTTTAACATATACTAAATTGTAGCAAAAGCTACGTTAGTTTGAGTGAATTTTTAATAATGCCATAAATGTGGTTTAAAGTTTAAACTCTTAGTTGTTTAGCTCAAAATTTTATGATACTAATTCAAATGCAATTTCGTTTAATTTATCATTAGATCTCCTTCATAATACCATTCATTTCGATACAATTTCACCAAGTAGTCACTTTCATTAAAGATTGAGTTACTATCGTTAATGATTTAAAAAAAAATCTTTTTTCGCTATAAAATTCATGAGAAGACAGTAAAAATGCTGGAAAATACAAAAATTACAAATTTCGATTGTTAATGAGTGAATTTGTCGTAGAAATAGTAGAATTTATTATTCGGTATCTTGTAATAATCTTAATTTTGACATGTTTCTTTAAAAATGATTTCAAGTTTCTTAATTATTACAATTNATTACATTTGTAATATCAACTAATATACCTAGTAAATTTATTTCTGTTGGGATTTTAATTTTACAAATTCGTGTCCAAATCGTAATTTTTAATATTTTCGCTTACGAAGCAACGGGCTAGAGGCTAGGGATAAATTGTAAAAATCGCTTTAATATTTAGGTAAATTTTCGTATTTCATTTTCTCCGCGTATAATATGTGTTTTCTTTACTCAATTGAAGTAATAAATACAATTAAAAATTAGGAATTCGTAAAGTCGTATTGTTGTTTAGATGTTACGTAATCGTTGTGGGTACTATTATTTAAAACGTTAATTAGGAAAACTGATATTTGTACGTCATCGTATTATTTTAAATATACTCACAATCGGTTGCTATTTATTAATTCAAAAGACGAATTTGTATTTAATTATATTATAATTTGTTTTCATTTACTTTATTAAAGTTCCTTGAACTGAAAAATATAGGTAATCGATGATAGGTATGAGGTATGAATATTCAGTTGACAATTGTAGTCCCTTTCGGAACATCTATCTCTGACATCTAAATTTTCTTTTAAACACGCTAAATTAGATTGATACGTAACTTTATTAAAAATTATGCATTACTAAACATTTCATTATGCCCAACATAAGTAGAGTATATACACTGATGGTAAAGAGAGAACCGAACATACGGATATTCTATTACCATCCGATCATCAAAGGCAGCATCAACTTTTGAAAAGTACGACAAGGTATAGGAAAATTAGTACAAATGCCTTTAGCATCTTTTCATATAAATAATAGAGTAATATAAGTTCAACAAATGCAATTCCCTGATAGTCGATTTACTATTAATTAATAATTAAGACCCTATTATTGTAACAAGCTTAATTTTTAGAATAAGCGTACCTATTTTTAGTACAGTCAAGTCACTTTAGGAAGGCCAAGTCCGCAATAAATTTTTTAGATCCAAACAAGACTACTTTACCCTNCAAAGTCTTTGATCATCAAACTGTGCATTTTCGGTTGTACCAATCAAAAGGAAAAGGAAAAATGCCAATGAACAATTTGCTTTATCTGTCTAGACAAAAAGAATTTGTTATTTTTTTAATTAAAATTCTTGTGCCAGTGCACAACATACCTATTTATTAAAGATTAAGTTGGTGCAGCCTTGCGCTATATGAAATGTTTATAAATAATGCATAAATTTGAGGAAAACAGGTATCAACCTAATTTAGCTTGGCATAAAAAAAAATGATTGCGTCATAATTTTTCCTCACGCTTCTGTTTTATTATTACATACTTAGTCTACATCAAGAAATGTATAATATTCATCCATATTTTGGGGCAAAAATTGGACCTTATTTCTTCATCTTTTCCATTTTCACAATGTTTATGTTTCAGTACATTTTAATGCTTTAGTTGTTTTTTTGATCGTTTGGTGTATTTAACTATAGTTTGGTATAAAACTGATGTTTTTGTACAAGTATTTGTCAGAAAAATCAAATTGCTTTACCTTTTCGCGTGTGGTTGATATTCCACCAATTTTCTTTCAAATTACGCTATACGAATGAGTTAATAATACATAACGATAACATATAAAAATAATTTTTATTTTGCATAAATCTAAAAAGTAGGTGACTATTTTTTAAATAACTTAAGTTTTATTTCCTTTATTTTAAAATGAACACAGGGAAAGTACTGCAAGTTTTGAATAAAAAAAATATGAATCAATTTTTTACAGTTTTTTATAATCAAAATGAAACAAATACATGCCTTTCGTATTGTCCCCAAAGTCTTACTTTCAGTAAATTGTAAGAAAAGTTTATTTGTCCCCAAAGTTTTAATTTCAATAAATTGTAAGAAAACTTTAGTTGATATTAAAAAAAGAACCAACGCGGTTCGTTGACTGATGATTTGTATTTTTAAGTTCGATATTCAGGGGCATTTAATGAGTCAATTAACTGTTTTTTGCGCGATGACAGTAAAATTACTCTAATAATGGTATTATTAAAAACATGCCTGTTGTTTTGGTTCAGAGTTCATCAATTAAAATGATTATTTTAAGGCACATGTCACGTTCTAAAGCATTGACCTTTCGCAATTGTTTTCACATTCAAAATTACATACGAAATTTATATTTTCGTAACGCATATTTGTATTTTCAGTATTAATTTTTCATTAATGTGTAAATAAATTGAAATAGTTTTTGTTATAATTTTATAATGTAATAAATTTTTAACCCTGTAATTCAATTTTTAAAGTGTCAGAAGTTGAAATTAATTTATTCGTATAGGCCTAAAATTTGTATGTCGATATTTGTTTTGGATTTGGACCACACTCAAAAATTGTACATACGTTTAAACTGAGCTACCAATTATTTTATAGTGGTTTAAATTTTGATTAAGATTTTACCGGGCATATGCCAGGTACATGAACCGAAGTGCTATATAACACTTTCACACAGAAAACACATTGTTATTTATAACATCAAATTCACAAACATTGCAACTAATATTATCATGCTTATTAATTCCCAAAACTTCATAAGAGCTGAGTTTTTTTAAAAACAAAAAAATTCTCCTTCAGTAGAATTTTACTCTCTTAAGTTTATGCTATAGACCCTGTAAATAAATGATTGGATTGAAGAAGTAAGAATAAGTAGTACAAAGTCATATTAGAATCTTGTACGAACCATATCTAATACCTTCAGTAAAGTTCAGCTACTTTGGCTTGTCCACCATTGAATAAAAGGTTTATATGCAGGTAGGTTAATATTTTTTTTTTTTTAAAAGCATTACTATCAGATAAATTTATTGTATCAGCACACCATTTGGTAATTTTGATAATTACAATTAACTATCGTAAGTCATAAGCTAAGCATTAACCCTTAACGATCTAATGAAAATAGAGTTTGATACTGTGCATGGCATAATTTAAGGCTTTTAAGACTTAGTAGCTGAATTTTACTGTGCTAGTGTTGAAATCTAACTGTACAAATTTAAAGAAACTTCTATGCGTTTCTTCTCAAATTTAATTTCTTTACCCTATCATAAAACTTTTTTTAATTATTGCCTATTTAGTAATGGAAGGTATTGAAATCGCTTAAAAGAAAATGAAATGCAGTCATAATAAATTTTATAGATCTGTGGTACATGNTTCTATGCGTTTCTTCTCAAATTTAATTTCTTTACCCTATCATAAAACTTTTTTTAATTATTGCCTATTTAGTAATGGAAGGTATTGAAATCGCTTAAAAGAAAATGAAATGCAGTCATAATAAATTTTATAGATCTGTGGTACATGTTTTAGTCTTAAACATATTTTTAGAGGTAGACTTGTCGCAGGTTGATAGGGAAACTTACATTTTCTACGTATAAAGAAATTCAACTCAGTTTTGTATCTGATCTTGTTTAGTAAACTTATTTTTAAGTAAGATTAATGTTTCATCGATAATTACTGACATCTAAGGTACAATATCATGTTTATCCTGAATAGAATATAAAAAACAGTCATAAAAGGTCTTACATATGTAAACCTTTGCATACAACACATACAATACAGTGTAGCTACTAATGCATTTTTAAAAGAGAAAGGAAATAATTAATTAGAACACATGTTTCTTTTATATGGTTCCCATTTTTTTTGCTATAATCAGCATTCTCATATAAGTAAGGAATGTAGTGACTTATAAAATTATTCCCAGCGTGCAATCTGACATAGTAATTCTAAGGTTAATCTGGAGAACTAAAGGGAAACTTATTAAAAATGCATATAATAAAAATTACCCCAAATTTTGACATTTAATAATTGCAAGTAGTATCAACATCTGCTAAGATTTTGTATCTCCTTTTTGTGGTAGAATCATGATTTGGACTGAACTGTTGGTCCAGCCACTTTGTTGGCAACTGCAGCTAACACCTTCAGTTGTTATACTTAGTTTCTGTAGCGATGTCACCTTCAGTTTGACCGGCGAAAAGTAGAAAAGAACAGCACTAGGCCAGAAAAGAAAGGAGACAAGACCAAACTCTTAACCGGTGAAGAGCGTATAATCCGTACAGTACTGCACGGAAAAATTGACCATTGTATCCATCACATTTGCATTGCTAAAATGTGCTGTTATTGGTACCATTTACTACTGAAAATATCAACGAGATGTTTATTTATATTTAAAGACATATTAAAGGCTTTAACGCTTGTTTTCGACTCGCACTACTATTCATGATTGAACAATACTTTTGGCAGGTACTGTATGAAAAAGTATGTTTAATGAACAAGAGTCGAGAGTATAATGGGCTTTTTTCTCCCTACCTACGATTTTGCCAGCGCGCATCCAAGACATTGGAAGGGGCACATCGCTAGAAAAAGTAAATGAAGTATACTTAGGATTTGAATAATAACACATAAATCGCGAACACACTTTTAAAAACTTTAAAATGGTATAGTGAAATTTAATCAGATAAACATGGGATATTAAACTGAGTTGAATGTTTTTTTTTTCTTTGATGACAACCTGCGGCGCAAAGCTTTCGTGAAAAAGACCGTGTCATGGCCCTGTATTGTAGCTTTACTATCTGCAAAAGGCCTGAAAGAAAAGAGAGAGGATGATGACAATTTTACAGTTTTATCACATTTATCTACAGTGGACACAACCAAGGGTGACGAAATAAGCCAGTGTAGTATCAACATGCAATACCGTAAACGAGGTAACGTATTCTATCCAACCTCTAATGTACATAAAGAAATTGTGGCGTTTTCGACTTTTTTTTTACATTCCCCCATTGCGATAATAAATAATTTGTGAATTTTAAAAATCCCACGACAAAATATGAAAAGCGTTGTCTTCCTTTAAAAAAACCAAACCATAGTCGTAGAGACCAAAAAGGGACTCATCCAAGATACATAAATAAATATAAATACATATACGAAAGAATCTCTCAAACACCTTTTTCTATTTAATTTAGATTTGTTTACAAAAATGATGTATAAATCCATGCTTTCGTTTAAACATTCCCAATTTAGGTAATTATGTAACCTAGGTGAGGTAAAGTGTGGAAAAGCTTGAATTTAAAAAGAACTTTTCCATAATTGTTTCGATTTCCTATACTTACCCATGTGCAGTAAGTACACATTTCTCATTGAATAATTCTCTTTTTTTATTGTTCAAATATCGTTATCGTATAGAACTGCTAATTTCAATTACTGTCAAACATTTTCATTGAAAAGAAAAAGAAAACAATACAATAATTTGCAGGTATTCTTTTCATATTGGGTAATTTTTAATGTGCAATTGTTTGATTTAGAAGCACTTTCAATGTTTTTTGTCATTTCCTTTATTACTTTTTAATTGAGTACTGAGTTTTTTTTAATATCGCGTCACAAAGAAATGGCAAATTAGTTTGGTTCTTATTTGGGATATTAATTATTTTATTGTATAATTTATTTATTCGAATAATTTAATAGTTAAACATCACAAAATTAGAAAATAATTATAAAATCTAGTAGCAGTGGTAATTATTATGGGGAATGATTTTTTCTTGTTAAATCGTATTTCTTGAAGCCCTTGTCCCTACGCCCTACGTATGTATCTGTTTAGGCCGTTCGGGTAGCATCGCAATGCGCACCGAAGAAATGGTACAAGCACGCACATATGAAGACGTCACACCCTTGCAAGAATCAAAGAACAGTCAATGGAAAAGGATAATGCTGATGGTCGTCGCAATCACAGTTCACAACATACCCGAAGGATTAGCTGTCGGCGTGGGATTTGGAGCAATCGGAAGTAGCCCATCTGCCACGTTTGAATCGGCAAGGTAAGTGACAAATCAAAAGTTTTTATTTAGCATTATTGGTTCACATATACAGAAATTGAAAAACCTTTAAGTTCCGTATAACCCACGTTATAATCTCAAATAACTCAAAATGCCTTGAGTTCGATGTCACATTATTAGTATATATCGTGCTGCTAGACCGGAAGTGAAGGAAGTCTCAGACACTATACTTATTACCTCCCCTGGTGCGTTTGCTATTTTTACCCTTTGTCGGCCAGGAAATCAAATTTTCTGCGGGATATAATTTAGCAATCTTTTATAGACGGGACTATTTTTCGTAAAACTAAATTTTCAAAAAAGAAAACAGGGTGAAGAATCCCTGGGCGCAATTTGAACTTCCACTAAAAAGTCAAACACGTTGGGAGTGCAATCGTAAAAGTTTGTGTCTAGATTTTACAAAGATGGTATGATATATCCAAAAACTGATAGTTCTTAGTTATAACGATTACCTACTAATCAAAAAAAGGATTATTGAAAATAAACGCAATAAAGTATTTATTTCTTTATTAAAGAGCTCTTTGCACTACTAAATGTAGAAATCATTATAGCCACTTTTGCCGCAGTAAACTGTACGTATTCGTTTTGGTGAGAATCGCACAGTTCGATCAAGTACAAGCTTCAGCTACTCAGTACGAGGTGGCGCCTATATACTACTGACTGCTATTAAATAAACGTGCGTGGTGGTATCGTGGTAGGAGGTCCTCCGTTATGAATGAATGAACTAGCTTGCCGGGCACTCAACAAGGGGCCCAGGAATCTGAGTACTTGCCCGAGGCGCCGACATTCCTCGGCAAAAGACGTCTGACCTCACGGAGGCCTCTTGTCGTCCGTCCCCTCTCTCTTTCGAACTATGTGTACATTGTCGCCGTAGTCCGGTCGCTTGTACACAGCTGGGCTGTGGGATCGCCAAGCTAAAATATGCGCTATGAAGGAATGGAAAGAAATTTTTGTTTCTCCACATATTCCTTTCATCTACAAGAGTCAGTCATAACTGCAGCAAAATTTGAGGTGCTATTACACCTATGGGGATCTACAAAAACAATTCTTAGTTGCTTATTTTATATTTGTTGATCTGATTCTTGTATGGGACTATATCCTTTTATTACTGTACTTTGACATTAATTCTGAATGTGGTTCTGATTCTTATTACTCTTGTCCACTTGTCACATCAGGGAAAATTTTACAGATTGTACAGTAGTATCTGAACAAAAGCTTGCGACAATGGAACTTTTTCTAGAGTTTCTTTAGTTTCTTTGGATAACACACAGTGTAATAATGATATCCTATTTTTAATGGAAATATACCATTTATAGATATTCCAAATTGTGTATTTAGTATGCAAGTTCCATCTCGTTTAGCAACAGCTGTTTTCCTTTTGTCGCTTTTATTGTAGTGAAGTTCCTTTCTCTTGCCGATTCGGTTTTTTTTTATTATCCCACGTTTCCGGTCGTGTCCCCATTTTGTTCAGGACCAATCCTCGCTCCTGCTTCTCCGGTTCGAACCCGTTTTTGTAGACTTTCGTCGAAGAGTAGGGCGAAATACATGCATGCATCTGATGTGCGTGGAATTGGGATGTAAACATTCTCACCGATCCGGTTGTTGCGTATCACATGCCAAAAATCATCTTTAAATTTCGATCATCTTGAACTCATCATCGAATTATTCGCAAAATTTTGTACTTCTGGTCCTTTTTAATAAAATACATTCCCACTTACAAATGTTGAATACAGCTACCGCTATGAAGAAATTATTAGGAAAGAGAAATCTTCGTTCAAAATCCCACAACTAAGAAAAACATTTAAAACAGTAAAGAACTTGTAGCTCTTAATCTTCTACGTCTTTTTCTTTTCTTATTTCGGTAATATTAGTCCAAAACAATACAATCCTTTATAGCTTCTAGAGGCTAATGGACATTTCCTTGCTGTATGAGGTGTGGGCATTTCTCAAATTAATTTATCTAATGAGACAATTATTTGTTTAATCTCTAATACGTAAGAAGGCCATTAAAGATACAGTTTGAGTTTAGCACAAAAGAGACAAGGGATCAAGTGCTATTTTATTTATTCATACAGAGAAATGATGTAATACGCAACTTGATTCATAAAAAGTCGTAAAGAGGCTACGCCGGTTGTTAGGATTTATCATTCAATGTTTAATGCAAATTCCATGACTTAATGGGTGTTGTTTTAAAGTAGTCCAGGCGAATATTGAATTGCGGAGAAATGACAATAAATTTTGTATGTATGGTAGATACTATCAATGGATAATATTATTGATAATGGTGAAAATAGGCTTCTAATAGAATTTGAATAAAAAAAAAACGTTTGGGTGTCTTATTCCCATCAGCTACTAACGCTGATGGGCGGACAGTCGCTCCGGAATACGCAGGAAGGTGGAGTGGAAGGACCCCGTCAGCCTCATTTGAGGAATCGTGGGAATTGATGGGTGGTGGTTGGGATGAGGACTAAATGAAGGCAGAAGAAAGGGAAATACGAGGGTGGATTGATAAGTTTCCGGCCTAACCAAGAGATGACGCCACTAGGCCTACCTTGAGGTGACATTCTATAGTACCATCCTTGGATAGCTTGTAGCTATAGTTTCAGCCCGATCTCCTTGCTAGTGTAGGTTTGACAGCACGCTGAACAAGACGCCTCTGTGGTTTTCGTAAAAATGGAAAAGCAGGAAAATCGTGCTGTCATCAAATACTTTTATTTGAAGGGGTTAACGCCGAAGGAAATTAAAAAAGAGATGGACTCAACACTGGGGACATCCTCCCCGTCATATTCAACCGTTAAGCAGTGGGTTTCCGAGTTTAAAAAGGGTCGTGTGAGCACCTCTGATGGGCCTCGCTCAGGACGCCCCGTTGAGGTCACAACTCCAGATATGATCGAAAAAATTCATCAAATAGTGCTGGGAGACCGCAGATTGAAAGTGCGTGAGATAGCTGAGATCTGTAAGATGTCATATGAACGTGTGCAACATATTTTGCACCAACATTTGCATATGGAAAAGCTCTGTGCAAGATGGGTGCCGCGTTTGCTAACAGTCGACCAAAAATTGATTCGAAAAAACATTTCTACCGCAAATTTGTCATTGTATAAGCGTAATCCAAGCGAATTTTTGCGTCGATTCGTAACCGTTGACGAAACGTGGGTCCACCACTACACTCCTGAAACCAAAGAACAGTCTAAACAGTGGATTGGACCAGGGGAACCAACTCCAAAGAAGGCAAAAACAATTTTTTCGGCGAACAAGGTTATGGCTACTGTTTTTTGGGATGCAAGAGGTATTATATACATTGATTACCTTGCAAAGGGTAATACTATCACTGGTCAATACTACGCAGACTTATTGCAACGTTTGAGCCACGAGGTGAAAATTAAACGACCTCATCTGGCGAAGAAAAAAATCTTGTTTCATCACGATAACGCACCAGCGCACACGTCAATCGTTGCGACGGCTAAAATCAACGATCTAAAGTTTGAATTGATGCCGCACCCTCCTTACTCTCCAGACCTAGCCCCGAGTGACTATTTTCTGTTCCCTAATCTCAAAAAATGGCTTGGCGGTAAGAGATTTGCGGACAATGAAGAAGTAATCGAAGCTGTAAATGGTTATTTTGAGGAGCTTGACGAATCAGTCTATAGAGATGGCATTAATAGACTGGAACACCGCTATGAGAAATGTATCAGCCTTGGAGGAGATTATGTTGAGAAATAAAAAAAAAAAATTTTTAAAAACCTTGTTTTTCTTGGTCAGGCCGGAAACTTATCAATCCACCCTCGTATTATCCATGGAATATTACTGCCCCTAGCATTTGTCTAAATGATCCGAGGAGGCCACAGAAAAGTTTGGGCTAGGACAGACGGACGTACAATCGAACCGGTATCCTCTAAAATGCTAAGCAATGGTCTAATTCTTCGATAATGTTTGTAGTTTTGGTTGCTGATTTTACTATCGAAAGCCCGCAACGTAAGTGTGAGAAAATCGCGTGGTTGTCCACAACGAACGAGACGAACAATTACCTGGTCAATTAATAAAGACATTCATCTAAATCTAAAGGAACAATTTGCATTGCGTTACCTCCTGGTGCTGACGTCACCTTGTTTGGCGACCAGTTTTTTGTAGGTTCTTTTTTTTTTTTTTCGGCGTTCTTGTTGGTTAGCAAAATTTATCGCCCCGCATGCAGACTTCCCGTCCGATGGTCGCTGGAAGCGCACGAACACCTGACGAATGGTAGAGACAGACTGCTTGGTATGTCGTCCGAAGTGGACGACGAGAGGCACATACAGAAGTTGTATTTTACAATGGTATGCGGGTTTCTGTGTGACTCCTTTTCCAAACAAAACTGGATTCGCGCTTTTTGACATTTTATCAGGAAGTCTTCAGTTTTCCCTTAGTATAACAGGAGCGGATCCGGTCACAATTTTTTGGAGAGGGGAATAATTTTTGGTCAATCTGGAGTGAGGTCTCTATTAGGCCACGTTTTTCAAAGTTCAGTACTTCAAATTCTATTCTATTCAAAAACTATCCAACACTCAAAGCAGACATCGAAGTGTTATCCAATTTCCCATGAATTTTTGTAATTCAAAGGTAAACCTAAGTGTGTTGATGTGTTCTTTTCCCGATATTTCTCAGTTTTAACAATGCCATGCGGGATTTTAAGACCCTTTTTGGTCACTAATCGTAAACTTGTATTAGGTTTTTTGACATTTTCTTCCGAAGCAAGAGTTGAAATTACTTCAGATTCTAAAATGGATATTGAATCAGATTTCTAAGTCACGTCCAATTTCTCGTAAAAATTAATATCCCGAAACAATGGGCCCTTTCTAATTCAAAGATAAACCTGCACAGAGAATGTGTTCAATTTTTGTCTTCGCAAAGCTCTTCCAGCTTTAGCAATAACATGCGGATTTCTAAGTGGGATTAGGTTATTTGACATTTCAACAGGAAGCATCAAATATTTCCTTCCGATTGGTATA